CGAAGTTTTTTCTTCAATGTTTTCGTGGTCGGTAAGAGTAAAAAAAATATTGAAGTGAAAACTTCGTTAGTTTATTGCTTAGAAGTGAACGTAAGTTAACCGTTATGCTTGGGTCTGTGACGCTGAGTCGGATTTACTCGGCCCACTCGATATTTGAGCGTGCTAGAATTGGTGGAGCACTAAATCATGTATAGGTACTCGGCTTCAGTCGTTATCAGGCACGTTTTGCATGTAATTAGTATAGTATTTTAATATAATAATTCACAAATATAACTGTTTTGTAACTAACACTACTTTACGGGTGCTGAGATAAGAATAAATAATTTTATGTAACAATATCAATATTATCTTGTTGCTGAGTCACCAAACTAATCCATTACATAACATAAATCTAATTATATAGATATATATATAGTTTAAAATTGGAAAATTAGTGGTTTTCACTTCTGTCGTGTGTTCATAAATCCACACTCATTTTTTTGTTTATTATATCTATATGACATCATCATGTGCGTTTTTGTATTATATTAAATCGTTGGAATTTTCTACCCTACACGTGCCAACTGCTGGCGTGTCCTTCAAACTTTTTTGTGGTATTTTTTAAATTTTCATTCTGATAATAATTTACAGTTTACACGTGCACGTGTCTACAGATACAACTGTGTTAGTATATGACATTGTCAATTTTACCTAATTAATTTTTATACATCAACATTTCAGAGTGTACTTTTGACTCAATTTTACCCTGAGTAGCTCTAAATGTCATCAGTCCGCCGTAACGGACGTGTAAGGCGTGCACCATACGCAGGTGGGACGTTCATTGAGTGGCAAAGTTTCGTCATTGTACAGTTTTTACAATTTATTATCACAAGGTCGTCAGTCCTAGGACTGGTTGGACACGCACCTCCACTCTTTCCTATCCTGAGCTAATCTTCACATTACCCTAAAACTAGAACATCCCTTATTCTTAACTATTTGCTAACAGTAATCTAATCTGGGTCTATCTCTACTCTCGTTTCTGCCTCCAATATGTCTCTGACTAGATCTTCATGCCTGAGAAGGTCCTACTAACCTATCTCGCCTATTTCTTATTAACTTCTTTTGTTCTCTTATTCTTTCTAGTATATCTTCATTTCTAAACTTCTGTATCCACAGTATCCTCATCATTCGCCGGTAACACCACATTTCGAATGCTTCTAACCTCTTCTTTTCCGCCGCGCCCACCGCCCATGTTTCGCATCCGTACAACGCCGCGCTCCAAACATTCAAGGCGACTCGACCCTGCGCTATCCTCTGCTTTATATCCCAACTACTCCTTCCGTCATGACTTATCTGACATCTTCTAATTTTACGTCTCCTATCTTTATATTCGCTCTTTCCCTACTTTTCTTCCCTTGTATACCAGTATTTTCTTTTACTTTATTTTCATACAGTACTAATTTGCCAATATCGCTTCCATTTTATTTAAAGCAAAATTTTTACAACTGCTATTTAAAAACTTTAGAAGAAGATACGGAATATGGAGTTATATACAGCTATATCAATTCAGTTTTTTTTTCGTTGAAGAGGAGAAATCTTCAAAAGGTACCCATGCGCTCGTACGACTGCGTAGTGTTAGATTCCCGAGGAAAGTGTCCTCGGACCTACCGATTAAAACCTCAACTTCAGACGATTCTAGGACTAACGAAGGTCCTCTTCAGTCGGAATGATAGGTACCATAAACAGATAGGGGTAATGTGAAGAGCATCTTTTGTCTAAATTGTACTAAATAGAGGTCCTTTTGTGAAGGAAACATAAACATAACAATAAGACAATATTTAGGCATGTTTTTAAAGTTACATACGACCTGTAAACAAGGAAACGACAATAAAAATTTATTCTTCAATAATAAGCCTTTTTATAAATTTAGCACCTTTTGTCTTAATTGAACTGCAAAGAATTCATTTTTGGATGGTCCTAGTTAAAATAAAATAACACAATATTTAGGCATGTTTTTAAAATTAAATACCGCTTGTAGCTAAAGAAACGACAATTAAAATTTAACACACGTATTTTAGATACCCATTTCATTATCATCATAATCATCTCCTATCCTGAGCTAAACTTCGCATTTCCTTAAAACTAGAACAGCCCACATCCGTAACTATTTGCGAAGAGTAATCTAATCNTTGTAGTGCTCTATCATCTCCTGCAAGCTTACTACTTATTTCAGAAACACCTTATATATCTTTCCATGTATTTTTCACAAAGGAAATTGATCAACTAATAGTAGTCAGGTCGTTGTAGATTCCCATCTGCTACTTGGGGAATTACCCGTAATAAAATTGAAACTGTAATTTTATATATTTTGCCATCTTTTAAAGCTTTACCTGTATGTATACATGATGTTATCATCTGTTATCGGTTTGCTTAATTTTCAAAACTTCTTCGCAGGTGTTTAAGCATAAGCTTAAAGAATCAACATGTTTCATTCTTTCACTGGGTCTATAATGAACTGTAAATGAGAATTTTTGCAATCGTATCCTAGAGCCAAAGAAAAGATGCAATTCTCCATTCAAACAGGAGTATAAGAGTTTGAGGTAATCTGATCGGTGATCGATTTATCCAAGCCATATCATGGAGACTGTGGGTCGAATGGCTTGACTTGGAAGAATCGTCTAGTACAGCACGTTGACATAATCATTTATAATCGGAAAACCAGCGACAACATGAAAAATTTTGAGAAAGACTTCGGAGGGTGAGTCGAAAACTGAGCAGTAAGAAACATTACTTGTTTCAAGAGTCTACGTGGGGCAAGTAGCTTCAAGGGCCGGTGTTTCAGTTTACCACGAACAATCAGAGCACTGCAGAAGTGATAAGTACCTATTGATGTACATCAAATCAAAAGCTTCCTTGGACTTTCACAGCGTTTTTATCAAAATGGGACCAAGTGGAGGCACTATAGTTATTGTAGCGGTATGACCCTTGAATGAGGTGGTTCTGATAGAGTGGATGATTGAGGTGCTCGATCATTTAACTATATCCCCGAGATATATGTTTTATTTGTGCCCTTAATAACTTTTTATTTTGCTCCAAACAGAACAAGGAATTGATTGATTAGAAAGCAGGTAGAATGTATCACAGATATTTCTCTATCATCATCATAACGTCGTCAGTCCTAAGACTGGTTGGACACGCACCTCCACAATTTCCTATCCTGAGCTAATCTTCGCATCACCTAAAACTCGAACATCCCACATCCTTAACAATTAGCGAACAGTAATCTAATCTAGGTTTACCTCTACTCCTCTTAACTGGGGTTTTTCGATCTAGTATGTCTCTGACTAGACCTTTATGCCTGAGAAGGTGTCCTACCAACCTATCTCGCCTTTTTCTTATTATGATTACGATACCGTACAGCAACGGAATGCCTAAACTATAATATAATATAGGAACACGACACCCTACGAAAATAGTATTAAAACAGTTTATCGCAATTACTAATAACTAAGAGTAACTGTGAGTGTTAATAAATTACTCTCTGCTTGTATTGTATGGGAAAGGTTGCCCTAATTTTAATAAGCTTTTCGAGATCGATAGATCTAATAAGTGTACTTTCTAATTGTACATTTTTTATTTGGTATCATTCTGTGCATTTTTGAGTTATAAATCGTTGATTTTTTGCATGTTACACGTGTCAATTGCTACCGCGTATTTCATACTTTTTTGTAGGTATTTTTTTTTAAATTTTTGTCCTGATAAATCTTCACAACGTGTCTCCAGATAAACCTTATATTATGCAACATTATATATGTCTGACCTTGTGACATACGTACCTACATCTAATTCATTTTTATACACAATTAATTTTGGTCCACGTGGAACGATTTATAATTATTACAGTTACTAAAACTATTACAAGAAATGAAGAAATTAAAAAGGTTCTCTACACCTTTACAGTGTCAATTTGATAATCCTTTCCTTTTACATGTTTACGAAATATTCAGAAAAAAAGACAATCTCATGAACACGGATAGAGGTCCTATCCCAAACTCAGATCAATTTAGATTATTATCAAAATAAAATTAGTCCCACATCCAACCCCAGCAGAATTAAGTCGAAGCTTACATCCAGAAGTTGATAATATTAACTTGATAAAGTTAACTATACAATATGCTTCCAAAGTGTTGATCACCTTACTGCGGAAAACGCACTCGTGGATATGGGTTTGCGCTGGTTTGGAAATTGTATAGTGAATGTTTGGGAAAAATGACTAGACCGCTGGATCGTAATAATGATGGAAACTGATGAAGTATGATAAATCATGGTACACAGGCGAAGCGGATGTGGTGTCCGAGGTAAATGTAACTGAAGCAAAGCTGTAGCCAGTCGCCTGACCAAACGTGGTAAGGGCTGGGTGAGTTGATCCAGGCGTCGCCGCTTGGATAGCTCCACTAGTAACTGATAGTGTCAGGAAATCGGTACCAGTGATGGGTTTTGAGAAGTTAGCAACGATAAAACGTCAGGGGAAACGTCTTAGTATGCCCAAGTAGAGAGACAAAACGACAGTTCCATATTAGGTAGTTATGCTGGTGCCGTTTACTGCTTGTACCTTAGAAACGGATTTCTGATGTGGCCCGGGTATTAGTGACTTGGAATACACGCAGTTTCCCGATGCCATCTGACCATGCATTTTCATGTCTTGTTTATGACCATTTGACTTTCCGTACGTAGCTGCTGCTAGATCTGCATGAACGGAATCTATTTACATGAAACACTTTAGTAGTGATTAAAATCAAATGTAATTATGTTAATCTATATATATATATATAGATTAACATAATTACATTCGATTTTAATCACTACTAAAGTGTTTCATGTAAATAGATTCCGTTCATGCAGATCTAGCAGCAGCTACGTACGGAAAGTCAAATGGTCATAAACAAGACATGAAAATGCATGGTCAGATGGCATCGGGAAACTGCGTGTATTCCAAGTCACTAATACCCGGGCCACATCAGAAATCCGTTTCTAAGGTACAAGCAGTAAACGGCACCAGCATAACTACCTAATATGGAACTGTCGTTTTGTCTCTCTACTTGGGCATACTAAGACGTTTCCCCTGACGTTTTATCGTTGCTAACTTCTCAAAACCCATCACTGGTACCGATTTCC